CTTGACCATTCTTAATTCTATCTTTATTGAAATAATTAAAGATTGCCGTAGTTAAATAATTCGAATTCCCTAAAAGTAAAGAGCTAAAGTGAAATTTTCTAACAATTTTCCTAATCCTAATTTTTTGTTAAATTTTCGCGATAAAATTTCTACTGAAATTGTTATTCAATTACATAAAAGAAGTGCCGCATCCTTCTTATTCAAGGCTCCGGTGCGTTCCGGCTAGCTTTTATTTTAGCTCTGATCGTAGGGGGGAGTTCTTTTATCATCACAAAAATTAAATATACTTGAAGTATAGCTGATGAAAATTCCAGGGCGAAACAGAATGAGGGTATGAGTGGGTGGAAACAAAAAAATGAGGGGAATCTTGGTGAGAAAGAACGTTTTCTTTGACCGCAGCTCTCTGCTGATATAATTATAGCCATCTAACAGATGTGTGTCAGGGATAAAATGAGTCCTGAATCTGATTCCTAAGGATGAAAGTAAAGTTGCTGGTTACGCTTTCCCCCATTAGTGGAAACTGTGGGAAGACGATGTATAGGACGTGCTTGAGCAGTTTACAGTATTTCACTCTTATTGTACTCGCTGTCACTTAACGCACATTTAAGAACACAAATTTTCCTTCCTGCGAGGATAACTAGCAGCAAGCATCGATAACAATACACTAGATACGATGGCATGGCGAGAAATTTACGCTTTCCTAAACAAACTCTCCCAAATTTATTGCCCTTCTTAAAGGGAAAGGTTTCCGCATGTGAGTGAGGGGACTTTACTTGAACGTCTCACGTTCTCATGAGTTCGTATTTCTAGGGAAATAGATTATTGCAAGGTCTGCTTATTGTTAAACTAAAACGTTAAGAATTCTAAATTTTTTTCCCTTTAAATTGTGGTTCATTTTTATAAAAAGAAGTACCGGAGCTCGTATTATTTAGGGCTCCAGTGTGCTCCGGCTAAAATTGTAATTTATCTTAAAAATTGAGAAGTACCGGAGCCGGGCTCCGGCGCAATTTAAGCACTGATACCGACTGTTAGGTACTCTAGTATGTGTTTGTAAGAAAAGCCTTTCGCATTTTACTTTTTCACTACTAAGCTCAGAATCATTAACAGATTCTATTTTCCAAAAGTTTTTAATAGATGCATCAATCAATATCAGTGGGTTCTCGCAAAAAATCCGCATTATTATTTAGCAGCCAAATCCACCGCAGCAGTTCAGCTACTAATTACATAACCAAAAACACTCTTTTGCAGCACTAAACGGGAATCAATAATACAAATCTTTCCCGATTTTAATCTATCACTTCGTGAACTGAGGTCATGGTTGCGGGCTCCTGAAAGGACTGCCTATCCCAATGTAATATGTAGATAACTTTTTGATCATTAAATAGCATATTGAAAGTCATAGACAGCTGAGTTGAAGTCGGAAGAGAAATTTTTGCAGATCTGTAGAAGCAGGTGATTTGTAAACATGGACCTTATAAGAAATAGACCAACCCAAATGGCTTTTCTCCCTCTTCTGACGCATTCCCGGCTGTCACCTTGATCACATCCGGAGGGAGTAGGGACGACTTGCAGAAACTTACAATGGTTGGCTATTGCAGTGTGTATAATTGTCAAGAAAACGTTGGTTGTAGCGCCTCATTTCACAAATTAGAATTTTTAGATATTTTTATTTTTGAAACTGAGATTGATTTTTTAAAAATTTAGCATATTTATCAAGCATAATTAATGCTCCAAATAATTATAAAGCTGTTGCATGCTTTCAGGTCTGGCTAATTTTTTAGCTTTTCCTATGCTGTATGGAATTTGCAACTACTTCTTTTAGAAAATAATATTTTAAATCTGAACTAATAGAAAATTTCAAACAAAGAATTTTCTCTTATAATTGAGTCCTACCCCGGCGCTTTATTAAGATTTAATTTAGCGATATATTCGCTAACTTCGTGTATGGTTGTATACTGTATGTCTCTCTGACATGAAGAGTTTTGAAAACTTTCAACATCTAATTGGTAGGAATTTGCGGTATTAGAAAAAAATCCCTTCATTATGTGGTGTGAATTGTGTTTGCAGACTGTCAGCAATTAATGAGTTGCCGTGACCGGAACACATCTGACAGGCCTACGCGCATATAAATCAATCTGTTTCCAAACGGTTTGCCTTGAAACTGTCGTACGCTTCGCCGAAGATAGCTGACGAGACAGGTCTGATGCTGCTTCTTTTGGCAGTTACTGCAAAATACCGTTCATCATTCGGCGTTGCAGCTCGGGGAGGGCGACCTGTACTGTAACGTCTACTGACATTTCCATCATTTCGGAATCGTTGCGAAAGCCTAGAGATTTCACTTTAGGCTATTCCAAGTTCCTCCGGATACTTCCATCTAAATACGCAACAGATTCCAAGCGGCCGATAATTCTACCACTTACAAAATCATCCACATGCGTCCTCCGTATTATAACTATTCGGTTGTGACACTGAGCAGCTTACAGAACGCTTGTGAACAATTTTACTTCCTTGTTCCACTTGTACGCAGCGATTATCATGCGAGAAAGCACGACGTGTCCCGGTTCTCTGATGTAATGTCGATGAAACATGAACGATGGAAGCTCCGAACTAATGACTGGCTGGGCGTAGAGTCGAAGGTAGGCATTAAGGGCGTGACCATTGTCACGTAAGAAGCAGCAGTTCTGTTGCATTTCATTTGAATGGTCCGCGAAGCCTGCAAGTTGGTGTGCACTGTCACGTGATGAGGAGAAGTCATGTGATAGGATCTTGCATAGTTCTTGAATTGCGAAAGCAAAATACAAGAAAGTTCAAACTAAGAGAAAGGGTAAGCTATGTACAATATTTACATTATTTAAAAATTTTGTGAAGTTCCAGAAAAATCCGTTAGCAACTACAGTATTCACATCAGGTGGGAGCAATTTTACTTCTTTGCTACCATTCCTCCTCTTACACTCTCGTCATTGTGACGTAATATCGGCGTCATCTGATGACTTCCTGTAATTTGCATATTATTCTTGAAGATGTGTGTGATAATTCTACAGGTGAAATTTTTACTTTAGAGTTCGATTTTCATGCGATTCTAAATTGTCCTTAATTTATGGAACATGAATGTATATATTTCTTGCGGATGTAATATTTGTTATTGGTAGTATGACAAATTCGGAAACTTTAAGAAAATCATTATTAAATTTGAAAAATTAATTTTAAATCTTAGTTAAATCATACCTCGATTTAACGGGAATAAGAACTTCATTTAATTCCGAAATCTGCAGGCACCACTTTATTTACCTTAATTGCAACATTTTCACATTTCCTCTAGTTTCTGGAAGCATTAAACATGCTTCCAGAATCACAGAAAAACGCAGAGGCTGTCTATTTCCCAAAACGTCATTCCCTAATTACAGCAGCCGCCCAAATTTTGAGTTTTACATAATCAATTAGCACCCCACACGTATTTTGGTGGTTTCGGTTATCCGATGCAGTAATTTCAGGATTAATCTCTTCTTCTTTCTGCAGATAACTAGATGATTCAGGACTTTCATGTTTATTTTGTTTCGCTTTCAAAAAGCATTGCAGTAAGAATTATCCGCTTTTCTGCAAAACTTGCAACTATATTTTGACTTATATTAATTTATTTTATGAAGTGGCGAAAAACGCTCCAGGCATAAGGAATTTTTTTATGAGTTAAAATTGTTGCTTCACAGTACATTTTGAAAATTCATGATATTTATAAACAAGATGCGATTCAGATTTATAAATAATACAAACTAACGATTTGAGTCTATAAGGAGACTTACTTCGATTTCAATTTTATTTCAACCAGTGGTTTCTTGACTCAGTATCGATATTTGAAGCATAATATTTATAATAATATCAGATAAATTTAAAGATTTAAGAATTCTTACATGTAAAATATGAACGTTACCAAGTAGCCTCTTATGCTCATAACGATTTTCTAATGTTTTAAAAATTGAATTAAAAGTATTTTCACTAGTTTGAATCTGCTTAGTATTACCAATTAATACCGATTTCGAATAAAATAATGCATATGAGTGATCAAGTAGATTATTAAGGAATTAATCTGAATCTTAAAGCTATGCCACTTTTCGATTCCTCCGGAAAACTTCGGAAGGGGGAAAACCATACAATTTCATTTTTACATTACTATCAGTTGCAGCACTTAAATTAAAATTATCTGTGAAATATGTCTCCAAATTTTCTAAATCCTCTTCCACTTCATTCTATTTCTGGCAGGCATTTTTCTGACGAAACTTAATACTGAAAACCTGACATCACCCAGTTGATTCTTCGCTGATTCTAAAACACCAAGCTTCACATTTATGACTATTATGCCCCCCTTTTGATGTTTTTATCATTAATGTTATTTGAAAGTCTGGTAATTTTGAACTTCTCAGCTCTTCACCTCCGGTTTAAAACTTCCATATCTTCTTCCATCGTAAGTTTTCAAGCACTTATTCTTGTTACGAAATTAACATGCAGAATGATGGCTAATTGAATTTTGGACGTTATTAATTAAAAAAATAGAGAGAACTTACGTACGTCTTACTGTTTACATGACAAATTTTAGAATGACAAAATTAACAGTGATGCCAGATGCATAAAAAGTAATAAAACAATAAAACAATGATGCCACTGAAACTGCACATAATATTAATTAAATGCTCGATTCTCAACAGCCTCCTTCGAGCATGAAAATAGTCATTGTTCATATCGATTAACCTTTACTTATTGACTGTTTTTACACCAATCAACTTCTTCTGGAAATGAAACTGAGGTGCTGGAAGCGCCTTCGTCAGAATGTCTGCTCGTTGTTCATTATTTCTGACATAGCCTAATTGAAAACGTCCCTTCGAGAACTCATCTTGCACTAACTTGTACCTTTGGTCAATGTGCTTTGTGCGTGGGTGGAACATTGGATTTATTAAGGAATTAATAATTAATAATTTATTAAGGAATTAATGATCAGAGTACTATCAAGATTACTTGATAGTACTCTGATCATCAATTTGTAGGATAGGCAATGAAACATTATTAGCTATCTCACTGAACAAGCTCTTCAACCATATCAGGTCTTTTGTAGCATCAGCTGCTGCCATTTTCTCTACCTCTGTCATTGAATTGGATATGGCCTCCTGTAGCTTGCTTCGCCACGTAATTGCACCTCCACCATAGAAAGAAATAGCACCTGTTCGAGACTTGCGTGTTTCTGCACAGCTGTTGTTATCTGCATCACTAAACAACATCAAACTTCTATCATCTTCATTATTGTACACAATGTCGGGTTCTATGGTACTGCGAAGGTACCTTAATGTTGTCTGTACGATTTCCCAATTAATCTCTGTAGCATTGTTCAGCTTTCGAGACATCAAACTCACTGGGTAAGCAATATCCGGTCGGGTCGACATCGCCAAGTACAGCAAACTGCCAACTACTGATCGGTATATTTCACTGCTGAGAGGCTTTGCCTCCTTGATCTTGATCATGCCGTCGTCATTCGGTTGACCATAATCAAAAACACAAATGTCTGGTGAGATAATACATGCAGACTTATTCGAAACACCAGTCTTATTAAGAGGTGGAAAGAAGTACATGTTAGTGATTAAGGACAATTACTCTAAGTTTCGACATGTAGAATTTCTGAGACAAAGATGAGGCTCGACTTTGAGAATCGAATTCTTTACTGGGATGTGTGATGTCTTAGCATCTCCATATCGCTCTAATATCTTTCTTGTAAATGCTTCTTGGTGCAGGAAGAGTGAGCCGTCTTTCAAACGTTCAACTTATAAAGCAAGGAAACAATTTAACGTCGTTACTCGAATGTTAAAATGTTGCTTGAGCTCGTCCATAAATATGAAGAATGCTGCTTTGTCCTGAACAGCGACAATGCCATCATCAACATAAATCGCCATCAGCATCTTATGTCTATAATCATTTCGTATGAACAGGCAGTTGTCGGATTTAATATCATACCACGTTTCTTCAGCACATCAGTAAACTTGGCATTCCAACATCGTCCAGCTTGTTTTAAGCCGTATAAAGGTCGAAGCATCTTGCATACACTCATACTTCCGTCGTTATAGCCTTCGGGCTGATACATGTAGATCTCCTCAGTTAGGTCACCGTGAAGGAATGCCGTCTCCACGTCAATTTGATATAAATTGAGATTCTTGCTGCCGTTGCAATTAGAGCTCGAATAGTGTCATAGCGACACACCGGGCTAAATGTGTCTTCGTAGCGATATTCACCGTCTGGGTGTACCCATTTGCTACTAAACGGGCCTTGAATCTCTAGATTGAGCAATCGGCATTTGTCTTCACTCTGTAAACCCAGCGATTGTCGAGGATTTTACGTCCGTTAGGTGGCTTAACAAGTTGCTATGTTCCATGTTTGGCCATTTCATGCGAAGCCATTTCTTTGTCCATGGCTCGTTTCCAGTCGGCGTATTCAGGAGACTTCGTTGCTTCGTCATATGTTTTAGGCTCTTCCAACTTCAGAATGCTGTTATACACGTCGTAGTCATTAAATCTGACAGGCCGTTGGATAGTTGAACGGTCTCGCAATGTACGCGCAGTCATCTGTGTTGGTTCATCATCAGTGCACAGATCACCAGCCCCCTGTGTGTCTGTATCATCGTGTGCATCTTCCAAAATAAACTTCATACCGCTTGATAGACCGGTGTTAGATGCTAATTTTGAAAGTTGGGAAGTAGGGCCGATTTGCTGTTCATTGAACACTATATTGGCACTTTTTTATTGTATTATTCCTTGATAGTATGAAAATGGGATACCTATCGTCATCTTGACCATAAAGTCCGTCCTTCGGACGGATAGGTGGGTCGGACTGCGTCCACTTAGCTTCACCTATCGTCATCACAATAACCAACCAAATAGCCCTTTATAGCCTCGTCATCTAATTTAACTCTGTTGACATTTGGTACATATACAAATGCAGCTGATCCCAAAACTCGAATTCTGTTGGTTGCCGGCTTGCGTCCAACCATTCCTCAAACGGAGATTTTCCTGTAGTCTTACTTGGTCCAGTTCGATTGAGAACGTAGACAGCTGTAGATGTTGCTTCTGCCCATAGGAACTGTGGTAGGCCTGAATCCTTGATCATAGTGCGAACTGCATTCATTATTGTACGATTCTCCCTTTCAACCTAATCCGTTTTGTTCTGGTGTATATGGCATAGTGATTCGCCAGCTTGATGCCTGCATCATCAGTCAGTTTCACCACCATTTATCATTGTCAAACTCACGACCACCGTCTGTGACCAGTTCTTTACATTTATACCATCTTTGTTGGTCCGAACAAGAAACTGCTTGATTTTATCCGCAGCCTCGTCTTTATGTCTCCAGAAATTCTACATGTCGAAACTTAGAGTAATCGTCCTTTAATCACTAACAATGTACTTCTTTCCACCTCTTGATAAGACTGGCGGATTCGAGTAAGTCTGCATGTATTATTATCACCAGACTTTTGTGTTTTGAATCGTTTTGGTTTAAATGTTCGTCGACTTTGTTTACCATACGTATATGGCTCACAAAGCAGTCCATCGTCGATAAAATCTATACGATTTTGGCGCAAGTACTGTTTCACATTACTGTATTCCTTGATGCCCAAGTCGTCAATGCCAAACTGATAATGGCAATTTTGTCGTCGTCTTCATTGCCGTCTCAGGATAAGTAGCCGTCATTTCGTTGTCAACCAAGTAGGCTGCAGCAGCCGAACCCCCTTGTGGCTTGACTGGTTTTGCACGTACTTCAAAGAGTTCATTTGATGAACATCGGACTTCTAAAAGTATATTATCTGCGATCTCCTTGCGAAAGAAACGACAAATCATATCGTCTGAATCACCAAAGTTCGAGATTCCTCGCTTCATTGCCTTTGAGGCTGATAACAAATTTTTGCCAATTTCTGGTGCGTACAGTACATCAGTCAACTCAATAGATTTTTTTACGTTTACAACCACCGCACACATGTCAATGTCCCCACAGCCATATGCTGGTATTGTGTTTGTTACCGACTATGATTTCACCTTGTTTGTCAAAGTGACGGTACGTCTTGAAATACTCGGCTGAATTTGTAATGTGTGCTGTAGCTCCATCGTCTTTAAGCCATACATTTCGGCCACAATCATCTTCTTGACAAGCAAACGCACTGTATTGAGTATTTGCAAAGAAGGTCTCAGTTTTGCCATTCGTCGTGGTTGGCTTGTCAGGGAAAACTGGGCAAAATTTACCAATGTGCCCGGGTTTATTACAACGAAAACAGATGCTATTGAAACCTTTCACACCATCACTTGTCTTACTAAGTCTGCTCATCGTTTTGGCATTATTTGTTATCAAGGGTTGGGATTGGCTAGTCATCTAAAGTTTCTTACCACCCTTCTTCCATTTCTTTCCACTATATTTTGAGCTATAATTAGCATTACCACAAATGTTATCGTACTTTCGTTTCTAAGCTCTTAATTTCGTCTTTGCAGCCGCATGTTGATCTGTTCGATCAGTTTTTCAGGTGACTTTCCCGTCTTTGGCATTCAGTTCCACTGTGACTTGAACTCTATATATTCGTCATCAGGAAGAATATATAAGATTCGCGGTGCTAGCAAGTTCTGCGGCAACTTTCCTTCGCCGCAGTGGCGTAGCGAGGGCGTGGCAAGGGGGTGTATGATGCCCTGGGCGCCGCTCGCAGAGGGGCGCCAAATGGTCTCCAAACAAGATTTTCACATGGAGGTAGGAAGTAAGATGGAGTCGCCCTAAACAAGTTTCTCCCGTACCCTGCTCTGAAGCACCGGCGATCCCTACGTGGTGACCAAAACATTGGGTCATTTACCATTGAGTTCTATGGGATTTGACGCGCGTTCGGATGTAAATATTTTGTAATTACGTCGTAAATATACATATAAATGTTATATATTTTCTTTTTCTACAACACTTCAGAGTCCTAAGTATGTGAAAACAACATATTTTTAAACAACATTTCATTCTGAACGGAATTAAATGCTATACTTTTCACAGGACAGTTTTCTCAGAATAGTTTAATTTGAATGAAATATTTTCACAAGTTTTCGTTAATTACATTAGAAAAAATTAAGGTAATTCGATTTTATTCGGTTTTAAGGTACAAAAATTAAGATCAAAGTTTATTGTATTAATATTAAAATTATGCATGCATATTTCTTTTCTATTTATAGAGCTTTTCCTAAAATACTTTCTTAAATATGACATGATTTTTTGTCTTCTGAGGCATCTTTTAAATCGAAAAATGTAAGTCAATTTATAACTAATGCTATATTCGGTTAATTTTAAATTAGAGAATTATTAGTTCGCTAATTCCTAATAATTAAATAGGTCTTGACTTTCTCTGAACATTTCTGAAAGGGAATAAAATAAGTTTTTCTTTTTTTAGTCCAAAGGGATTTCAGTCCCGAAGGACTATTGCTTTCGTTTTGGCATTTTGCGTCGGACTCATAAACGTCGGTTCACTTTTCAAACTGTTGCCACAAAATGTTAGAGTCCTGCATTATATTTGAAGAAATTAAATAATGAAAAATCTGCATAAATGATTGTCTATTTCTCGCATTGTGATAAAACAATGGTACATAGAGCCATCGAATTTTGAATGACGAAATCCTACTGCGAATATGGGCATCTGAAATCCCAAATTTGGAATTTGTTTTATTATAGATTTTATATTTTGTAAAACTTTAACGAATTTTTGATTTACAAACTCAATGCTTTAAAAGCGAGAAATGGCAACGTTATATAGAAAAAAAAAAAAAAAAACTTTTATCTCCAGCTCGCGAGACGAGGACTGTATATCGGAAATTCTAAAGATATGCTTAATTTAACATTATTTTTGCGATATTGCTCTTGAACTGAATTTTATGGTTTAAGTGCAAAGAACATGATATTTAATAAATAAAGGTAACACTCAAAACGTTTAAAAAAACGCCCCTTTGGACGTAATTTAAAATCTGAAAAATTTCAGATTTTTTTTTTTTTTATAAGTATATTTAAAACTTGTAACTGAGTTATTATAAAATGTAAGGGGAATAATTCTTTTAATTATACTTATCAGATTTTTTTTTTTTACCCTTCATTTCAACAATACATATTCCAAAACTCTTTATTACGTTCTTAAGTGCGCATCTCATAGCATTTGCTTTACAATACCTTATAACAGATTGCTCTCCAATACGAACAATTCTTGCTTAAATAGCTTTATACCGTATTTGTCAACATGATTTCAATTTATGTTTACAATTCAATATTAAGGTTATTATATATTTAGATAACATTTATAATCATTATAAATTAGATACATTTAATAATTAGATTTCTTCACAGTACTTTCACAGTTGTTTATAAGTGAATAAATTCTTCATTTCAAATACATTTATAAATAATTTAATGAATATTTAAGTATTTTGCCAAAGGCAGGTACATGCTTTTTGCAAGCACATGCATAAATACCCATACATATTTCCTATTTTCATTTCCGGCATGTGCAAATCTTTAATTTCTGTGCATTCACTATATTTTTTCGTGTAAAGTAATTTACACTAATTTAGCACACACCCGAAAGTTTTACATAAAAAATATATACGAATATAATTTGAATGAAAATTATAAGTATTATTTTTAATACCCACTCAAAGGTCAGTTTTTCTTCAAAATTCCTCCACGATGGCATCTCTCTCTTTAGGCAGATAGCCCTTGCATGCGTTACTCTATTTAATAAAAACTTAATTTGACCTATGTGCCTAATTACAAACATTTTAACATGCATAATTTTATATTTATAAAACGTGTAAGCCCAAAGTGATTATTTTTCAGATATATGAAATTAAAACGATGGGTTTAAAATGAGCAGCCGTAAAGCCTCTCCTCTAAAAAATTTTAAAAGGTACATGTTACAATAATATATGGATGTGAAAAAAATTTGTTTTATTTAAAACATTTTGACGTTTGGAAAATAAAATAAAAGTAGCGAATACTCTATCAAGGGTATCGAAAGACGTATACAATTTAAAATGTACCGTAAGGTATTTTCATTCTTTAAGCATAACATTTTTCTTAAAATCTATTTTTTGTAGTGCAACAGCTTATAATTTTATTAAAACAAATTCATAATCAAAATCGCTGTTGTTAGTTATCGAAAAATAACCAAGATGTGATTTTTGCGTAAATGTCACTAAACTACACAAATTGCTATTATCCATCACACTATGAATGTTTCTTTCATGCGAAAGTGTCCCTTTTTTTCGATTTCTATGGAACTGTCGTGTGTCGAAATACTATCAGAATCTTTGTCAAGCGAGCTTCTGAATGTAAAAAACAAAGAACACCCCATCTGGTGACCCAAACTCCAAAGCAGTGTTTCACTTTTAGCGCGGGTTGGACCCTCCTCCCTTTCCTACCTCTATGGATTTTCATCATATCACTGTTTTTTTTTTTTTTTTCGGGAGAGAGGGGCGGGCGCCAAAAAGGTATTTTGACCCGGGCGCCAGTTATGCTCGCTACGCCACTGCTTCGCCGCTAAACTCTTGCTCACGTTGAAGATCCACCCACAGTGTACGTACACGTGCCAGTGATTGCATTACACTTTCGTCTTCCTCGATCCGAAAAGTGAAAAACTGTTGCAGAAGAGTGTCCCAATTTCACGCTTGACACCTTCTCAATTGACTTCTTCATTACTTAATAACTCATTCCATATCGCTAGTGCAGAATTACCATGCATACGGATCAAATTAAACACATTCGGTAATACATTTGTGCGAATGATCACAGCAGCTTTCGCATTCGCGGCTTCGTTGTACTCGCGTATCGTTTTTTCATTTGCGCTTTCTGCCGGAGCTCAATAAGGGAATTATCGAAGATGCCCGCACAATCGTTGAGCATAAATAATTTATTTCACATTTCCAATCAGTCCAGTTGGATAAACCTTCCAATTTGGTACACTGAACAAAATTTTTAGCTTCCATATTACGTCGTTATTAACTCGGAAATATGCAGCAAAAATAAAAGGCTATCTGTACATTATAGCGTCTACTTATACACTGTTCAGGTGGAAGTGGTGAAATCGAAAACGAAAGTAAAAAAAAAAAAAAAAAAAAAAAAATCCGTGATTCAGATACGTCAACATAGCCATCGTTAATCTATTTGCGCAGTCAAACGTCGCTAAAACCTATAACCTGTTATGAAATTAACATGCAGAGTGATGGCTAATTGAATTTTGGACTTTATTAATAAAAAAAAAAAAAAATAGAAAGAACTTGGGTACGTCTTACTGTTTTGCATGACAAATTTTAGAATGACAAAAATAACAGTGATGCCAGATGCATAAAACATAATAAAACAATGATGCCACTGAAACTGCACATAATATTAATTAAATGCTCGATTCTCAACAATTTTAAACATAAGAAGATTCTATTCAGTCTCAATAAACTATTGTTTTACGACAAAACTCAACTGCACTTAATTCCACAAGTCACTGAAGCTACTATCTCTGGTCATACGAAACAAAAATTATGGCAAAACTTAAAAACCATTTCGCCCATAATTACAAAAACATTTTATTTCCAGTTAAAACATCTTAATTGCATAATACAAGGATAGCACTATAGCGATCAGTTACACGTATAAGCAACGCAGTATCAGTTAGTGTCAACCATAGTATATAACACGTAAAAACAGGAAGACTGACTGAACCATGATCTTTGGAACCAGCGAAGAGCTGGCAAATATTCCAAAGTTTGATGATTGCCAATACTCACACAGCTTTTAATACTCTTCTGGAAACATTAGTAAACACATATAAACTAAATATCTGGATTTAAATTCTGAATATTCCTAGGTTCCAGATGTTTACCCAAAATGTTTGTGGAACAATTCTACTTGAAATGGGGGTAAAAAATGCTCGGTGACCTTTGAAATGATGTCTATCAGACACACTTACTCCAGTGCTCTCAACATTGCTTAAAGCACTGGATGATTTATTCTTTTTCATTTGTTATAAACTGGTCTCTGTATCTTTTTGGGTAGCCTGAATAGAGAATATTGTCCCTACAAAACTGCCTTGATATGAGAGTATAGTGGGATCAGGGAGCGAGAAATCTAGCAAATAAGATGGATGTATTTTGAGTAAAACCTACTTTTAAGCAAAAAAGCTTGGGTATCTTCTTTGCTTAAAAGCAGGTTCAAGCAAAGATAACCCAAGCTTCTTTGCTCAAAATGCAACATCATAGGGAAAGGCTGAAGTGCTTAAATTCCGTTTGCAATACTACACTGTCTCAGATGACATCACTTTAGACATTTCTTTAACAGAGTGTACACTAATGCCCTCTCTCAGACAAATTCAG